CGAGTCAATATATCAACATATAAAAATATGGCAAACATTAATGAATTTTCGGGGGATTTCGAAGCATAACGATGACATATAGCAATATTTCATTAGTAAAAGAGATTGATATGGTGTTTTTAAATGGCAATATATCAGCATATGAAAATATATTTGAGTATATTATTTTTCAAAGTGTCAGAAATGGATAACAAAACTGCTATTTTCAATGACTACTTATTTTTGTCCAGCTTTAACATCGGTATCGATATTGGTTATCGGCTACATGAGTTTTAAAATATCGGCATATCGGATATCGGCCAAAATCCCAATATCGTGCATCCCTACTTTTATTGGAAAATAATCGTTAGATATTTCAAAACTCTGTGCGGACTAGTTGGAGATCAGACTCATGTCTTTTGGACTTGCCCAAAGATTAATCCCCGGATCTTCGTTCTGGGAATTCCACCAAATAATTTAAGTAAAGAAGAACAAAACATATTTGGTATCTTTGTTCACATAGCCAAAAAAATGATAACAATATGTTGGTATAAACCTTCACCCCCTGCTGTAAATCAAAGGAAAGAGAAACTAGTGAACATTTACACGATGTAGAAAATAAATTAAACTTGTCCACTGGTTTATTAGAGAAAAGATGGAACCCTTTGAAGACATTTCCATTTAATATTGTAGTAAGATAAATGTAAACACACAGGTACAGATTTTATAGGCATACTTAACATATTTCTCTGTTATGATAAAAATAAAAATCACTCGAGAAAAAATTTTCCTTTATCTCATCTGCCAAGTAAAAAAAACAAATAAATAAATAAAATAAATAATAATAATGAGAAAAAAGAAAAAGGAAAAAAAAAACATGGATTTTCAGCTTTCTGACTTGTTTAGTTGTTTTTACTCAATTGTTTGTTTGGTTGTTTTGGAAATTGTTGTTTGTGGCTTATTGTATTAATCATTGATTTTGAATATTGATCTGATAAAATAAAGAAAAAAACATTTGACAGATGAATCGATTAGTAAAATAATCATAATTTCCAGCCCTGATCTTTATATACGCAAAAAGTCTGGATGATTGTTGGATAACTAGATTTTTTGAACAATGTGTCCCTTTGTCCTGATATCCTGGAATAAACCTATTCTTCCAGGGTCAGGGGTGCTGAAAGTGGGGCCCCCAGGGGCCATTCACAGCAACCGAATCAGAAAATTAAACCTCTGCTAAAGTTCTTCCATTTGCTCACAATAAAACCCATTATCCTCCAGTATTCTCTGGATCTCATGATAGCTTCTCAAACCACCTAATTAGACAACCCCCCCCAATCAACACGATCGACTAACTTTCAGTTTGGTTTCCAGGAGCTCCACGCTGGTGACCAGATGAGTGACGGCGGTTTCGTTCAGTCCGTAGGCGATGGCGTCCTCTCCCAGCGTGGCGTAGAAGGTCACCACTGCCAAACACGGCCAGTCAAACAGCAGCTGCTGCTCTGCTATGCAGAAGTTCAAGCAACATTTTCTGGTAGTGAAAGTTCTGCATTTGACTTACGGGGGAAGTTGCGCCTGAAGCATGCCTGCGCCGTGATCATCCACTCCGCTCGGGTTTCACAGAAAATGGCGATGGTGCTTTTGGGCTGCTGCCCCAGAGCCGCCAGTCCGCTGCCGAACTCGCTGGCCGCAGCGTCCAGCTGCTGGTAGGACAGCCACCGGTACTCCCCCAGTATCACCTGCAAGCAGACGGAGCTTCAGCTGCCTGGGAATCCCTGAGAGGCTCACAGTATAAACAAAGCGTACCTTTTTAAACACTTTCCCGCTGGGCTGAATCTCGTTCTCCTCGCTCAGCACCTCTCTGGTGCCGAGGCAGTCGGCGGGGCCGAAGCGCTGCACCGCATGCTGGAAGAGTTTATCCAGGGTGTCCTTCCCTGGGAAGTCTTCTGTGGCCAAGGACTCAAAGTGGTCCACGGAGCGGTAGGGGCCCTCCGGGGAGCCGCTGGTAGAACGAGCCTTCATCCTCTTGGACTGGGAACACTTCTGGCCAGCGCTGGTGATGAAGTACCAGGGCAGGAATGAAATGAGCGAGTACAACCAGATGAGGAGGTGGAGCGGAAAGAGGAGGACGGACTGGAGGGTGGAGTCTGACTGGGCGCCCATGCCACCGTCTGGAGGAGAGGAAGTGAAAAGCAGCTTTGGGTTTTATCAGCCGCAAATGGAAACAGGAAGGGAGCGCACACTGATTTAACGGCTCAACAACAGAAGCACCGAGTCTGAGGTTTCCAAGAATTCAGCTGAAATGAGACAGAAAAAAAACAGAGAAAACAGAAACAATCAGATGTAATAATATAAATAAACTCAGGTTGCTCCTCAACACTGAACAGATCAAAGAGACGAGATGAAGGGAATGAACTGCCTCATGCACAGAGAGGCCCCCACCTGTTTCTGGACAATAATGAAATATTTAGCAAAAATACCCAAAAAAATCCTTCCGGAAACAAAATGAGCAGCTAAGATTTTAAACCAAACATGGTGAGTTAGGGAAAGCGTGTCTGTAAAGCAAAGAGCTGACCATTTATCACCAGAAAATCGGTTAATTATCGGAGGTACTGCATGGGGGTAATGAAAGTTTTGGTTGATTAGACCCTTTTTTTTTTTATATTCCCTCCTGCAGTTTTTTCCACTAATTGAAACGTCTTTAAATCCACATGAACATGAATCCAACAGACTGTAGTTAAACAGATAAATGGAGGCAGAAGATGTCTTTCAGTCATTAATGCTCACATTCAGAGACACACATTAAGCTGGGCACCGTTTCATTCACAACACCTGTCCCATCAACCAGGAAGCAGAAATACTTTAATAATCCCAGGGAGGGATTACTTTAGTTACATTACTCCATCTGTAATAGAGTGACTATAGGAGCAGTTTGATTGAACACTATTTCATACAATATATATAATTAGGGGGTCCCCGCTCCATCTAGCCATCAGTTTGGGGTCCTTGGCCTGGAAAACATTGAAGACGCCTGATCTAAATGCTAAATTAGAATAAACAATGCATAAAAACTGAATTGACAGAATTTTTGTTTTTATGACTTTATTTTTTCCCCACTGGATCATTGATACAGTTGAAGAATATGATTAAATGCATTTAAAATTATTAATTGTTAAAGGTCTTTGCTCAGGGACACAGAGTCTGTGGGACTCGAACAACCTCAGGATTCCAAGCTCTAACCACTAGACCAACACTCCCCATTACAGTCATATTTTGGCAAAATGTTATAAAACCACAAGAACCTAAAAATTAAAACGTCTAGATTTAGGAAAAAGTTTATTTACAGACTGATTATCTATAAAAAAATAAAAATAAAAAATAAAATAAAACGACCATGACCGATCAATCAGGGAAGCTAAGTTTATCTGATGTTCAAACCTCACATTAAAACAAAAAAATCCAGAGGTTTGGAAATGAGGTGAATATGCTGCCTGTTGCTAATAAATCTAGCTCTATGCAGACTGATCTAACTCTCTCACAGCGCGCTCAGTCACTCACCACCTTCTGGACCTTCCTCCCTTTGTAAGAAAATTCTAACTTTATGCTGCTGGATGACTTCAGGTGAAGCCTTTCAGCAGGTCCCTCTGTTGATGAAATAAAGAGCTGCTTATCAGAGGCTCATAAAGGGATGAAGCAGCGACACTTTGCCCCGTCTGACCAGACAGACCGCCGTCCAATGGCCACGGCCCGGTGGGTTATGCTGAGGAGGACAGACAGCCAATGACGATACTGTGGAGGCTCACCCCACCGGTGGACGCTGAAAGGCCACTAGAGGACAAGCTCTACCCACAGAGGATGTAGAGGAGCGAAAAAAACTTTTTAAAATAACATCTGCAGAGCTTCACGTGCCAGACACCGACCTCTGAATGCAAACACTCCAAAACATGTGGGGGAGTGAGTTTTTAAACAGATTCTAGTGTTTGTAGCTGCTGAGACTGCAGCAGGGGGGGGGGGGGTCCCATCACCTGGAGAAACTTTTAAAAATAAGAACAAAATAAATTCTGAAAACTTTCATTAGGTCCTCAGATACTGACTGAAAGCTTGATCTGATAAACAGTTAGAGTCACTAGATAGACAGCAGGGGCGGTTCTAGACAGGCGCCAAAGGGGGCCAGTGCCCCTGTAGACCATGTCCTGGCCCCTGTACCGTAGACATAATACTCCAGAAATTCTAATGATGATATGCACTTGTACAATTACGGTTACTGATAGGTCCTTTGGATCTTTTTTTTTTTTTCCTTTACAAACTCTGTTTAATTATCCAGAAACAATAAGGTGATAGCTTCAGTGGAATTGAGATAGGATCCCAGTTTTCATCTGCTAAATGTTTTTTTAAACAAATAAAAAGAAAATACTCTAATTTTTACAACCTAATGTATCCGTTTTTCTTTAGTTCTAATTCAGATTTTATAGAAAACTGCAATTTTAAATTAAATTAAGTAAAAAAATATGTAAAATTCCTGAATTATGAATGTATGATGATCTAATAAAACATGGAATTTTAATTTAATTGAGTAGAAATTTCACTTCATGCAGCTGTCTTACTATATTTCAAACCTTTGCTCTGTTTTTTATTTCAAGCTTTTCTGGGCCCCCATGGAAACATGCGGGGCCCCTCCTGGCCCCCCCCCCGGTACATTTTTGTCTAGAACCGCCACTGACAGACAGATATTTCTGTAGCTTTGATGTTGACAGAAACAAAGCCTGTTTAAATGTTTTAGAAAGAGGCGTTGTCCCACACCCACTCCATCCACTCCACCCGGCATGATGCTGTAAACTGAGTGGAAATTCAAAGGAAGTGAAGTGGAGCAGCTGATCTTCCCTGTTCCTGCTGTCAGTCTGAACAGCTTGGATTCTGGATCAACTGAATCTGAATCAAACATCAGAATATCCTAAATTAATAAAAACATTTTTAATAATTTTTTTTCTAATCTGGATCAAGTTATATGTTTGATAAAAACAGCCTTATTTGAATATTAAAAAAAGGTAAAAGATGGAGTTATTTTAATGTTATTATCCTGGAAGTGAAACACATCCGGTTCGACCCAAAAAAACGCACAGAAACGCAACAGGCGCGTGTGAATGAACCATCGCCATGGCAACACCAGCTCTCCGTTACTGACGGATTTCTGACACATAAAAAAAAAACCCTCAAATGTTTCTAATTTAGCAGCTGGAAATGTTTAATTTATTTATCTTTTATTATTATTTTTTTTCTATTTTAAAATTAAACCATTTTAAATCGGCTATAGAATCTCCTTCACAGAGAGGATTTTAGAAATAAGAAAATAAAATGTTTAAATGAGAAAATTGCTCCATGCTGCCGAACAATGGGACGGCGCGTGAAATGATGAGAGAAGCCGCCTCATGTTGAGCAACCAGCGGTAAGTTTCTACCGCGCGGCTAAAGCTGTTCAACCAGGCCCGGATAAAGCGGCCTAAAGGCGGCTAAATAAACGGATAAAGCCGCTGAGACAGAAAGCGATAGCCGCTGAGCCGCGGCTCCTTCTTACCTCCAGCAGCAGCAGCAGGTCGTGTCCAAACCAGAAATGACCGAAAGTTACCTTTTCCTCTGACGCTGACGTCATCTGATTCCATAGATCTCAACCAATCACAATCCGAGGCGGAATGATCGTTTTTTTGAGTCTGACGTCCGTCAGATGACAACTAGACCGGAAGTCAGTCATGCTTTAGTCAAAGGTTTGTCATTTTCAACATTTTTTTTTCGCGTTTTTTCTTAAGAATTCATCTTTTTTCTGAATCATGTCTGATTCACATCAAATGTCCAAACCGTAGAAAACTTTTTATCTTTAACATTTTATCTATAACCACATTTTAAAAGGCTTTAGATCCCAAACGTACCTAGAAATGATGAAGTATTTTAACTTTAACCCATATTTGCTATTCTAAATAAAAATAATATTATAAATAATCTTTTATTTCTGCAGTTTGAAACCTTCCTCTTAACTTCAGGCTCATAAAACCGCCTTTATAGAATAGAATAGAAAATCCCTTTATTTTCCCAAAATGGGGAAATCCTGTTGTTTACCACAGCAAAAAGATTATATAAAAAACGGCCACACAAATATGGACCTTATAAAAATTATTTTTCACCAGATACTAAAACGTGAGGCACAATTTATCTATATACATCTATATTATTATACATCTATATTATTGTATATCTATATAGAATAAAGCATCGTCTACCAGCCCAGTAAAGAAGAATACAAACAAAGATAAATGACTAAATGCGTTGATTATTGTGTGTTTTTTACTGAAATATCAGTTGAATATTTACATGTAATCATATCAGGAGAAAAACTGCATATGAATTATTATTGAATAATATGATTCCTACATTTTTTGTCTGAGTGACGTCGCCCTCTAGTGGTTGGCCAATATCACTGTTTTTTATTATTTTTTCTTTGAAGCAGGAAGGAAGGATGTTTGCAAGCAGAACATTTCCTAATCTCATTTTCAAGACTCCAAGAAACAAGTAGAGACTGAAACCAAACTGTTCTTCCAATGTGAAGGTCAATATTTTCACAGCAAACAGATCTTCACCTGCCTTTGTGTGTTTGTCTGAAGTCTTTGTGTCCAGTAACAATACTGGGTGTGTTTATGCTTCAAAGCTTCATGTCAAGGATTCACAAAACAGGACAAATAAAGAAAATTAGAGAAAAGAATAAAGCAGAAAACTGCAGTTGGGTCTAAATTAAAATTCATTATTTCAGATGTTTACCATTAATTATGCAAAATTTTTTGTACTTTCTTACTGCTACTCATTTGCAATATTAGAATAAAATGTTTTAAATTGAATAATTAATGAGGCAGCTTTAATTTGTAGTGAAGAAATCCATTCTGCCTTTGTTCTGCAGTCTTTAACACTAACAGCTTATTGTGGAACAAACTGAGGGTTTATGTTCATGATTAGAAACTGTTTCGTGAGGAACGTGCCCCGCTTGTTCCAGAAACATCACCGGCAGGGGGCGGTGTTACCAACAAATAGGCCTTCTAAGGAGGAGCGCTTCTTTTTCACACCGGTAAAGCCCTGGGAGTCACCTACTTTAGAACTCATTTTATTATTTATTATGATTAATTAAAATATAAGGATGTATTTATTAAAGCAAAACACGCATTTTTTTTACTGCTTATTCCAATCACTTAATAAAATATTTATCCTGAATAAGCGCTTTTTCTCCCACCCTTTGCATACCGCATGATGTAATAATGGACATGGTTGCTTCGCTCTCAGGTTAGCTCTGCTGAACCAAAACAGATTTTTTTTACACCTTTACACCAAGCTGTGATACAGAAATAGTAAAAATCAGCAACAGAATAAATCACACTAAGTTAAAAAGATAAATTTAGCCATTTTTCTAAAATAAATTTCACTAATATTTTCTGATTAAAACCACTAAACCCTATTGGTCACCGGGGAACCACAACAAAATCTCTAATTATATCTACTATTCTTTTTTTTATGTTCAGTAAATAAACATTAACGAAAAAGGGTTGCAGGTCTAAAAGGCATCCTTCATCCAACTGTTTTTGTCTTTCTGGTTGATCCAAACATGTTTTCCAGATTCATTCATGGGCGGCTCTAGACCCGGGCAGAAGGGGACCAGTGTCCCTGTAGAACTGGTCTGGGGCTTAAAGGAAAAGTTGCTCATATTCAGAATTCAAACTTCTGAAAGTCCTTTAAATATGAAATGATTCCATCCTGTTCAATAAATGATCAGTGTTTTTAATTCAGAGTAATTTTCATGTGAATGTGCTTTACTGGAGGCATCCATGTTTGTCATTAGTTCCCCATTGATTCATTTACTTGAACTGCAGAGAATAGAAAAGTATTTTAGCAGGGCCAATTCAGCTTTACTTCAATTCGCTAAAAATCACCAGAATGTAGAAAATAATGGATAATTCTAAGAAAAATGTTCCTCATAACTACAGATGGCTTATTATTAATTAATTTTTGAATTTATTTATTTATTTGACAGGGACAATGTACATTTAAAAGCATTCCTGCAAATGCACCAGAATTAGCCAAAAGGCTATTTTTCATCTGTGGTCCCTGGACAGATGTTAAAATTGTCTACCTAAAAAAACACAAAGGTAAGCACGGTACAAAGAAAAATACAAATATAAAAAGAAATAAAAACAGCTATAACTCCTCAAAACTGATTTAAAAATACAGAATAAGTGTTTGCTGGACTATAGAGGTTCATAAAATAGAATAAAACATTCAAACTATGTACATATAAATATATATACATACATATATACACACAGCAGAGACACAAGTGGCAGCATGGCTTGTTAATGAAAGACATTCAACTCAGTAACATTTGCTGTGCTTTAAAAATTCCCCATTTTGCCGCTTTCTTTCAGTTAAATCCTCAGAAAACCTCCAACCTTTAGCTGCTCCTGTCCTCATCTCACCCTGACAAACTGTTTCAAAATCTCACCCCAAGGTTTGGTGAAAAGTTGGCAGCACTGGGACTTGATCAACAGCCGATACCGCACCGTGACGTCACTAACCAGTAGGTGGCAGTAGTGTTCTTTGACAAACATGGATGCCTCCAGTAAAGCACATTCACATGAAAATTACTCTGAATTAAAAACACTTATTTATTGAACAGGATGGAATAATTTATTATTTAAAGTATTTTTAGAAGTTTGATTTCTAAACATGTCCGGACCTTTCCTTTAAAGGTCAAATAATGTAGATTAAATTAAAACAAATCCCCCTTTAGTGAGATTCATTCAAAAAGGAAAAGGTTAAGTCTCAAAAGGAGAATTGGAAACCCTCCTTTAATGGAGCTCCCGAATTGTTAACACCGCCCTCGCAGGATGACCCCGCACTGTAAACATTCGCACCATCTAAGCGCAGCTCCCACGTGTCAGAGGCTCCTCTGCACAAAAACATCTGGTCTCTGAGCTCCTTCTCTGTGCTCACCAAGCAGCGCGTGGATCATCTGGTTGCTGAGGAACCAGCACTTCTTTCTTTCTTTGTTTTATCATTTAAAGTTTGTAGAAACAAACTTCGGAGCTGAAAATATCACCCAGAGTTTCTGTTTCATCTGTCATCTGGAAAGAAGCAACAGCGCGTTGAATTTCTCTGTGAGCGACGTTTAAAAGGCGACATGTCGACTGGAGGCAAAGCGGTGAAAAGCTGCCCCATCCCCACCAGGGTGCTGACCCTGAAGGACTGGTCCCAGCTGCCCGACTGCTACAGCCAGACCCCCGGGGGGACCCTGTTCTCCACCACGCCTGGAGGTTCATTCTGCTCTTTATTTCTAAAGCATGCTCAACTATTGCCTAGTTTTACTCCTGGGTTTCTTCCACAGGTGTTCTCGCGATAACAGTTTTTTTTCTTAAAAAAAAAAAACTTTATTTAAAAATTATTTACAATACAAAAAAATAAATAAAGCAGTACAATATCCAGTGAAAAATCGCCAGGGTTTTGAACAAAAACAATAATATGAATAAAAAAGTAACAGAATAAATGTAAAAATGGTGATTAAATAAAGCTAGAAATAGAAGCAGAGTTTTAGGATCCTTTTTGTTATTGCAGGAGGACATTGTAGAAAAATAAATGCTTCCTTTAAAAGTATTTAATCATAATAATTTTACATTTGTGGATATAAAACTTGGCCAACAGTTTTAAAAGATAACATAAGAATAAATGGTCAGAAATTTATTTTTTAGATTTTGTGATTCCAAATAAAACATCCTTTAAATAAACATTGTGCAGAAAGCCACAGACGCCTGGTGTTCTCCAGGACTAAAGCAGGCGACACTCAGAGTAAATGTTGCAGAAAGTCCTTTTTATATTTATTAAAAACTTTATGTAAAAAAAAAAAAAAAAAGTGAAAATGACAGAAAATGTATAGATTGCATCAGTTTGAAGGATGACATTTTATTAAAACCTTCTCTGCACACTGACACTCTGCTTTAACACCAACCCAGAATTTGATCATAGATCCTCTTTGATTGAAAATCTTTATTCTATATTCATTTATTCTGCTTTAGGTATTTTCTTCACGTCTTAAATGCATCTTTTTCCTCCTGTCTCACCTTTAAAATGATTCTCCAACAAACCGCCTGCCTGAAAACAAAGGGAGGCTTCCAACCCGTGACTTGCAGAGGGTGTATGCTTAAAAAACTGGGATCGGGGCCGTTTGATTGGCCCCTGGGTCCCCTGTGGAGCTGGAGGCCGTCCAATCTCATCTGCTCTATGCTCTGAGTTTGAAAAACAGAGAGAAACGCTCTGCACGAATCACACCATATGAAGGGGGGGTATATGATGCAGGGGGAGGGTAGTTTCTGCCTGTATAGAGCAGGCTGGAAGTTGTGCAAGACTTGTTTTTCTGATGTTACATCTCACATCCTGCAGTATTATTATTATATTTAAAGTAACCGCAGCGTATTACCCGTTTAATGTCCTTTATGCTGCATCTCTTCCTTCTGGGACCCTTTGTCCAGGATGAAGTGTCCAGAAACCAGTTATTGCGCAACATGTTTTCATCAGCCAGGCTGATGATCCACAGACCAGTTCAAACTCCAGAGCAGAGCAGCAGGAGCCACTGACCCCTCCCAGCTCCTCTCGTGACACGTTTTCAAAACAAGCAGCTCATAACATTTCTGGATAAAGATATTTGTGAAAGCGGGTCGACTTGTTTTCTTTAGTTATGAGGCGTGTGTGAGCGTTTGCCTGTTTATGGGATTTTTTAAAAGTTTAGGGAAGCAACAAGAAGCATGTTTTGGTCTTTAAAGACAGATTATTTCTAGATAAATCCACACCCATGTTGGCAAACATGCTGCATTTAGTGCAGTCATGTGAATTTGAACTATTTGCACTGGAAAAACAATCTAAAAAATAAGTAAAACTTACCCTTAATTTGAGTACTGGTAGGTATATGAGATAATTTGCCAATGGAATGAGTATTTTTACTCTTAAAATAAGATAACTAGATAATATGCACTTGAAATAAGACAATGCAATTGTATTTTTCTTATTTTAGATGTAAATTGTCTTGTTCTATTTGCAAAAATGTCTCTTTTTACCTCAATCCAAGAACAAATCCACTTATTTTAAGAAAAACTGACTTATGTAGATTCAGAGTTTTTCCAGTGTGCTCCTGCAGGACAAGAGGTCTGGTTTGAAATTTACACCAAATGTCTTCTCTCATGCTGTCAGGAACTCGCATCATCTACGACAGGAAGTTCCTCTTGGACTGTCGGAACTCCCCCCTCGCCAGGACGCCGCCGTGCTGTCTGCCGCAGATCCCAGGAGTGACGATACCGGCCACACACGCGCACCACACGGGGAAGCTGCAGGACCTCAAGGAGGAGGCAGAGGAGGAAGAGAAGGATATCGGAGGTAAACCTTGACACATTTAGCCTCTTTTATGCATGCATGTGTGTAAAAACGGGCCGTTCTGACTCAGAAAAAGAGGATCTGTGGTCTGAGCCGTGCATTTTAAAGTTATATACAGTTTCTCTAAAAGAACCAGGGCTTTATACCAAGTTCTCTTCTTGAATAACCTGCAGGGACAGTAGTTAAACTCCATTCTCCATCCTCCCCTCTATGTTGGTAAACAGGCCACTGATAAGTTTGCCAGACTGTCTTGGTTCTGTTGTCGGTTAGGGTGTGACCGCATGCAGCGGGGGGCTGATTATTCTCTGTTTTTGTTGTTTTGCAGACGACAGCCAGTTTGAGATGGACATCTGAGCCAACTGCATCACCTCCTATGGAGTGTTATGTCAAAACGCCTTAAAGTCATGAAAGACTGTAATGCATAACATTAAGCTTTTTTTTTTTCATCTTTTTTTATTAAATACTGAGCAACCTTTAATGGAAAACGTAACCATGCATAAGGTGTTGTGACCCTTTAAAGTGGGTCTGGGTGGTTTTATTTTGGACGGATCGCTCGCTCGCTTGTTTCAAAGAAACTATGGAATCAAGAATGAAATGTGTTTTTGATTGAACCCTTTTTTTTATCTTTTGTAAATAGGAGACGTGTGTTTTAAGTTGAGGATTATGGACGTGACGTGAAAACGTGGATGAAAGGTTTTTCAGTTCATGGATCAGTTTACTTTGGATGAATTCCCTCCAGTTAACGAAGCGTGACTTTCATTAGCAGCCGTTTGGGTTTAGTTTCTGCTGAAAACACAACGCAGAGTTTCTTATGGAGGCAGGATGTGGAAAAATAATAAAAAAAATACAAATAAGCTGCTTTCTGGTGTGTTTCCTGTTCTGCAATGTTTATTTTTTCTCTGAACACTAAAGGCCTTATTTAACATTTTCTTTTATGCTTCTTAAGCCGGGCATACATGGTGTGATATTTACTATTGTTGCACGCAGCTACAGCTCACCATGTTTGTTCTCACGCTGTGCGACCCGACGCTCTGATGCGATCTACCTGCTCACTGTACGTCTAAAAACCAGGTGGGACTCAGCTACGCAGTGAGATGGCGCTACTCAGACTCGTCTATCTGGAAGCCAAACCAGTAGCAGAGGAATATGAAGCTCACTAGAGTGAAACGCGCTGCCTTGGATATTTGGGCAATTTTGCGCTAAAAGCCCTAAAAAGAAAAGAAGACGACGTATTTGGACAAAGACATGGCTGATTTCTTTTTTTTTTTTTTTTCTTGAGTTTAGGAGATAATTGAGACACTTTAACAAAGGAATAAGACAATATTTCAGGGTTTCTGCAGGTCATTAAAAAGTCATAAAGTCATTAAATTATTTTTCAAATTAAGACCTTATTTCACATTAAATGTGAGATTGTGGCATTTAAAATGCTTTATAAAAAGAAACTAGGGATGCACGATATAATCGGCCCCCTATCGGTATCGGCCTTAAAACTGAATATCGGACATCGGCCACCCCACCGATATTTAACCCAATATTTGATCAGCTTCTGAGTTTCTAAAGTCTAAAAAATAACAAAAAAAATACTACTTCTTCTTCCTCAAAAACTTCTTTTTTACAGACTTAAAAACTTCTAAAGACGAGGGAAAAAATATTGATACATTAAAATA